TTGGTGTGCATGGTGCACACTGACAAGAGTGACTTCCAGTGTAATAAAAAAAAAAAAAAAGAAAATTGCCCATTATTTCCCCTCCTCCACACCAAGCACTTAAGCACTTGCGAGTTCTAAAACAGTGTTTGGGTCCAGCTCCCCATTTCTCAGGATGGCAGAAGAAACTGTACCGTAAAGGGGAGCTTCCTTTCTTAACACAGAAAAGCCACCCTAAGACCTCTAGCAGCTTGAAAAGGAACCACCACTTGCCCTGCAGCATAGACTAATCTGCCTCAAATGAGCCTGTTTAGATCCTTCAATCAATAACCTGTATTTTGATCTCAGCCCGTGCTTGTTTTCATTCATTGTTCAGTGGGGAGTAAGTGGGGGCCCCCACTCACTTGGCCATCTTGCTCCGCCTCAGTAATATATATTTTGAACAATCTAAAAATCACAATCCACTTGGAAGCTGTCTAAACACGGGTGGCAGTTCCCACTGTTTACCTGGGGAGCAAAGTATGTAACCATCTTTTCGTGTAAGATAATCTTCAGCCCCAGAACCCTCTTTTCTCCTAGTAACCACAGCCAGGTTCTTACTTGTATTCCTACAAGAAACCTTTCCGGTGGGGCAGTTCTCAAAGACGTGACATATAAAATGACACTAGCCCCCAAAAGAGGCTGCAAAAAATTGACTTCTCCAAGCAGGAAAAGATTATTTACAATCTTTAAGTTAACTAACCACTAGTCTCTAAAAGCTCCCAGCTCTGGGCTTTCTGACTCCATTCCATCACAGATTTCAGGGACAAGTAGGGAAAGGGAGTAACTAAGCAGACTACGAAAACAATCGCCATTATTATCTTATTATAACGCGCCGAAGTGCTGCAAGCTCTCACACAGTCTGCGTCAGTCTGTACAAACACCTTCAAAGAAATGTTTTAAATATTCATCATAATTTGGAATTCTAAAGAAAACTTCCAAATAGCATCCCAAAAAATCAGACAGATTCTGATACTGAGCACTGGATTTCCTCAAAATTTCAGGATCTGACAGCAATGATGTCTCTAATTTGGCATTACTTTTTAATAGGTATTCTGGTGATGTATGAATAGAGTTTACAAGACTTTAAAAAAAGGATCATCAGCTAAGAAGCTGAAGTGCAATAAACCAAACCACAAGAAGAACTCCAAAAACATTTATGCTATGACAGATACAAAGCCTGGTTGCTTTGCATACGCCTTGGAAAACCCAAGACCACAGAACAAACCAGGACCATTGCTGCTGAGTTGACTCTGACTCATGGAGACCTCATGTGTAGATCTGTGCTCCATAGGGTTTTCAGTGGCTGATTTTTCAAAAGCAGACTGCCAGGCCTTTCTTCCGAGGCAATGGAGGACTTGAATCTCCAGCCTTTTGGTTAGCAGCCAAGTGTGTTAACCATGTGCACCACTCAGGGACTCTGTCAGAACATAAGGTCCAGGGAAGCAGGAGAGGAAAGCAGGAGCTGTCTAGTGCACCCCACATATCCAGCACGTACCTGGCACATATAGGCATTCAATACATTTTTGCTGAATGAATGAGTATTGCTGAAATAATAAACCATGCAGGAATGCAGTTGCCAAAAATCAGAAGTTCAAGGAAAGATCCATTTTCAGGAAGGATTTTAACATGTAATATTATCTCTTCCACCGATTTTTTTAAAATGTTCTTAGTTACGCCTCAAACATCACTAAAATTATCTTTTCCTTCTCAAGAACAAAATGCACCAGATGCAGGGTAAATGGGCCCTGATCCAGATTAACCCCACAGAAGACTATTTTAAAAGGAAAAAACTGAGATTAAAAAGCTATCACACTACCGTGTACCAGCCAGCAAAAATCGGATACGCACATCTGATAACCCTCTTCAAAACGGTCGGTTTCCTCTGATTTCTATTTCAGCTAGGTAAGCATTTTTTTAGTCTACTGACTTTAAGTTTTCCCATTCATGTAGCCAAGAACCTGTATTTCCCTCGTCTTCTTTCTTAATCTTCCCAAACTTTTTCCTACTCACCTGTGCGGCTATTTACCAAAATTCCCTTTGTTTGGAAAATCCTCCCCCATCCTCCGATCCACGTTGAAAGCATCTAGCCCCTAACTACTGTCCTCTCTGATTTTATGGAAGCCTCATTTCCTTGCAGCCGAGGCCTGGTGCATTTCCTGAAGCTAAATTCATCGTGCTCCATAAAAATGAAAATAAAATCATTCAGACCACAAGATCAACTACCACCCTTCACCCTTTCTGCCAGGACCTTTCAGGACCTTGTGCTTCCATCATCCTTCTGGCACCTGTATTTTCCAAGATGGATTTACCATCCACAGAATTTTTCCCTCCCAAGTCCAAAATTCCGGAATCAGATTTAACCTGAAATTTTCTGCTTCCCGAGGCTACACAACCTCAATATGTGAAAGGAACTATGGACAGAAGTGAGCTTTCTTGCCACAATACTACTTTTAATGTGTTTATCCTTTTGCATACATGTTTTCAGGGAGTAGATACAAGAAGAAAGGAATACATTTTAAATACCTGATAAAGATTATTTCATTTGATCTTAGGAGGCAAGCAGAACAGGCATTCATTACCCCCATTTACACACAATGAAACTATGCATCAAAAAGGTTGAAGTGACCGATGTCACTTGGATAGAAAGTGTCAGCTCAGACCTGTACTGAGGTCTTGCTGCTCCCAACCCAAAGACTGTCTACTATACACACTTCCCTTTTGTTTCTGTCCTGCAGCCAGAAACAACTTCCCAGAGATTCAGTATTTCAAAGGGAGGGCAGACCTCTGACCTTTAGGACACCATCTCCACCTGCCAAGGCTTCAATCCCTTCAGCTAGCAAGCTGGAAGCTATCTTCTCCCTTCCCAATGGGAAGCAATGCCTTCCTTGTCTATGTACTCTCCTTAACAACTACTTCTTTCCAAGATAATTTCCAATAGTTCCTGTTTTAGAGGGACTTACTCATAAAACACTACTAGTCCAAAAAGTTTGCATCAGCATATAATTTTCTCAATAAAGTTCAGGGCTGATGCAACATTTCTGTCTCAGACTTTACAGTTAAAATAACAAGAACACAGAGCAGCTGAAAAATTACGCAAGACAACGCTACATTTTTACTCCATCACATCTGTCTCTCTGGGTCTCCTGTGAGTCATTGTCCTTTGCGTTCAGTCATCATTACAGGACTGCCATGTTCCACCCTAAATTGTTCTATTTTATTTTTTGAAGAAAAGCTCTGCAGCAAAATGGAGTCCTCTCACAGCTTTCCCTCGTCTTCTCTCTTAATCCTCCCAAATTTTTTCCTACTCACCTGTGTGGCTTTTTACCAAAATTCCCTTTGTTTGGAAAATCCTCACCCAAGCAGATGAAACCCTGACCCCTAATTTAGCACCTCAGATGCTGTGTTGCTCCAATTTTCACCACTATCATTTTACACAAACAGAAAAAAAGGCATGGTAAAGTCACAGTTCATTTATTTATTCATCAACAAACATATATGAAAACCTATCAGACGTGAGGGAGCAGGACCCAAATGTGAACAAGAAGCTATCCCTCTCTCATAGCCTGGTGGAGAGGAAAGGGAAAGAACTAATTACAGGGCAAACTGATTACTGTGGTTACCGTGGAGGTGAGCACATGGCCTGGGGCAGTGGCCATCGTGGAATGCTTCCTGGAAGAAGTGATCTGCGAGCATTTATAAGCCTCTATCTCTTCACTGTCAGTACAAAATAAACCTAAAAGACTCAACCCCACTCTGAAAGGTTATAAGCTTTACTTGCCAACAGTCACGTCAAAAGTCTAATTTCATAGGAGAATTGTCTTGACTCCTTGTCATAAATTTCAGTCCTTAACACATGCTCCCTTAGGCACAAGTTTCAGGAAGTTTAACAACTTCTGTCCTCTATGGTGCCTTCTCATATGTCTGTAAAATAGGATTAAATGAAATAACTGCACTTTTTAAAAACATAAATCATTTTCCTAACTGCAAATGAACACTTTGAACACTCCCTACAAAGCATGGCCACAGGAAGAGGGAACTAAGATTAAAAACAAAAACAAACAAAAAAACCCCGCACTTTAATGCAACAGAATGAAAGGTCTCTTTTGAAGTCACCAGAACAACTCGAACACAAAGAAAAACAGAAGGCTATTGTGGGGCTTTAGCCTCCAGATGATGAACACCAAACACACTGCAGTAGTAAACAAGCAAGCCTCTGAGCCCGGCCTGATCTGGTGAAAACATTACAACCTAAGGGACCGCTCTCTCCCCATTCATTGTTTCCCAGAGTCCCACTGGCTGGCAGCTCCAGGTTTTGTGTTCGGTTTTTTTTTTTTGCTGGTTTGTGGGTTTACTGCTTGTAAAGTATAATGCATAGCGTGCATTTCAAAGAAAAAAGGCACAGGCAAATGAAAGTAACTATGGTTTTAAAGCCCCATGAAAGGCAGTAAATGCAAGAGAAATGAACTCTCCCTGTGTTTACTATACGGACCTATTACTCTTTTATGCTACTCCAGTGGATTAAAAACTCAAATAGACGCTACCACTGCCCCACTACAAGGTCAGGTTAGAGGAGGGAAGGAGCACGTTCAGACACCTGCCTCAGCAGGACCCCAGACGGCCTCCCTCACCAGTTCCCTCGCCTCGCCCAAGTAGCTGACCTAGAAATGCGGTTGCAGACCCCGGCCGCTTTCGCTCTGCTGTCCCAACAAGCAGGCTCTAAATTCATACTTTTATTTCGCCAGGCACACCCTCATCCCCACCTCTCAAACCCCCCGCTGCAAGGAGGGAGACTCAACAGCCCCGAAGAGAAGGCTGGCGGCGGGCAGAAGCGGATGAGAGGCTCCTGAGCGCTTTCTTAACTATTCCCCCGGCCAAAGGTGGCCCGGGGAATCCAACACCTCTCCTGACTCGGAGCCCCTTTTCCTGGGCCAGAGGCTCCGGGCCTGGCTCTCGGTGGGAGGCCCCCCTAGCCCTCTCACCTCCGGACCTGGGGGCTGCGGTTCCCTTCTCGGCCCCTCCGGACCTCAGCGCTCGCCTGGGCCCCGGGGAGCCTGACCCAGACCCACGGCCGCGCCAGAGCCCTCCTGGCCTGGGCCGCCGCCCCTGGGCCCAGCCTCC